TTTTCTCACGGCTAACTAGACATTAAAAGATTAATCATGGTATAATTGCCTTTTGCAATTTCTAAGCATAATAAAATAATTTAATTATTCTCCAAATCAAAATTTTTAATATTAGAATAATGGATATTTTTGTTTTTTTATTTTTTAAAATATAATAAAATAATAAGTTCACTATTTAAATAAAAATAAAAAAATCACATATCCAAGGGCCTTTAAGTCCTTTCACTTTGATTTTTTGTTATTACTAGGTTCATAGAAGGTAATTTAATATTTTAATAAAAAATATTTATTATTTAAATAAAAAATATTATTAATGTATATACAAGTGTATGGGTATATGAAAGATGTTCATGCCCTTTAAATAACACATGTGACATATTTCGGTGAAAAAAATTATACTTTCATATTGAAAATGCCACATGTGTCCATGACCCTTGAACGATGCATGCAATACCTTCCAATGACAAAAATTATCCTTTCTCATGGAATTGTCACTATGTTTTTTTTTTTTTTGTTAGTGTGGCTCATGTTGATGGTGGTAGAGAGATTTATTGCTAATGAAAATTTTTTTTTTCCTTTTAAAATTATAGGTTGATTCTCTTTGTTATTGATATTTTAACTTTGGTTCTTATTCTTTTAATTTTTTAATTTTTGTTCTTGACTCTTTTATAAAAATTTTATTTGTTTTTAATTCCATCATTCAATCTCAGCTTGTCATATTTTTTTTTCAATTTGATTTTTATTTTTAGTTTTTTTCCTTGACTCTTTTATAAAAGTTATATTATTTCAATTTGATTTTTATTTTTTTATTTTTAGTTTTTTTCCTTGACTTTTTTATAAAAGTTATATTGGTTTTCAATTTCATCTTTAAATCTAATTTTGTGGTATATTATTTTTTTTCAATTTGGTTCTTATTCTTTTGAATTTTTTTTATCATTTTGTTAATTTGTTTTTCAATTTCACCATCTGATAAAAAATTTATAGTTGCCCTCTAATTTATCTTTTATTTGAATTTTTATCCTTATTTTTTTAATTTTATTCTAGAGTCTTTTAGGTCATTTTTTTCTTCTCAATTTCATCATTCAGCGTTTGATTTATTAGAGATTAGGCTTTGTAGTTTTTCCATGTATAATGTTTTTAGTCTAATAACTCAATTTATAAGTTTGAAAACTTAATTAAGTTGATTTTCTTTTGGGTTTTTTTTACCGATTAATATTAGTTTTTTTAAAAAAATTAGCTTTATGATTTTATTTGATTTCTTTTCTATCAAGTTATCATGACTTCATGATTTAAAATATAAATTTAATAGGTTAACTCAAGCTGATTAATTTTTTATTACCCAAATATTATGCTAATTTGAATTAACTAGTATCAATTTTGTTTTTTTAATATTAAATCTCATCATTCTATGTCTAATTAGATAAAAATAAAACAACATTATTTTTTTTCTTTTAAAAAAAATCTCAAATCATCGTAATTATTTTTTGAAAAATTTTATATTTCGTTTTATACTGCGCAATTCCCTCAATATTTTCAATTTACTATACTAATTTTTAAGTGGTGTCGTGGCAAGCCAGACCTGTTAAGGAGTATGTATGTACTCACAGAAACTCCTTGATTGGAGAAGACAGTGGGTTCTGCAGGGGTACTTCTTGCCATATCAGCATCAGATACCTGCAGATTGTAGGTCCCACTTGATGTGGACTGGCTTTTGAGTACTTACTGTGGACAAAAACGTCAAAGGCTTCTTCTTCTTCTAGCCAGTCCTTTTTATTACTATTTATTTATTTTATTTAATAATTTCTATTATTTTTGTAGGGATAAATGATGGTTTATATTCAACAATTTCTATGTTCATAACATGTCCATTTTCTCTCATACATGTAAAATATATATGCCATCGACCGCTCGTGACCATCATTTATATATTATTTATTAATAAAACCCGGTGTGTGTCAACAATTTAAGTTTAAGAATAAGTGTAAACACATTTAAAATAAATATAACTTGTAATATTATTATTTAACCCCTGAAATTTTACGAATGCATTTTACAGGCTCAGTTTCTTGATGGCTTGGCTAACTAGTGCTCGTCGAAATCTGTATCATGTCCAAACTACGCCTAGAAGATTATGTTTTAGAGCTTTTATTTAAAAAAAAATTCCTTTCTTAATTAGATTTTGAAATTTATTGATTTTAATTTTATGAACTAGAATAATTTTAGCTTATATTCAAATGGTCTTGAATATTATTTTTCAAAACACACTATTAACTTATTATATTAGATTTTTCTATATGATTTGGTGGTATTTTAGGGCTTGAAAAATATTAGATTATTTTTCTATAATTTAGAATTGTAATTTTTAAAACTTGAGATGGGCTATCCTCTTATCCTTCACTACGTGTTGCGTTTAGTAATAATCACATCCTTGCTGGAATCGATAACTCATATGAGATTGTTTTTTTTTTTTTTACTTCACTATTATTTATATTGCACAAGATCCCTGTAAAATATAAAAAACTAAACCAGAAAAATAATATTAAACAATTTTATTTTTTTATTTTTGGTTATAAATTCCTAATTAATTATTCTTTTCTTCTTAATCATCTTTTTTGTTAATTTTTCTATAAAAACTTAGCTTGAACATCCTATAATTTAACTGTTTTTAAGCATATTTTTCTCTGTGTTTTAAAAAATTATAGTTTATATATATTTTGTTAGTGCAAAGTAAATTAAAATATAAGATGATTTCTAATGTAAATTGTTATATGCACAGTAAAATTTAAAATATAAATTGTAATGTTTTAAACATATAAAGATCAAATATAAAAACAATTAAACTATATAATGATTAAGATATTTTCTTTAAAACAAACACCAGGTAAGAAAATATATCTACAAACAAATTACATAATATATACTAAGTATTAGGTATTGTTTGTTTCAAAAAAACCACTTTTCTAGAAAGTAGTTTTCAAGTTTTTGAATGTTTGGTGAACTTTAGAAAACTAGTTTCCAACAAAATAAAAAGATAAACATTTTTCACTAGGAAGGTATTTTTCTTTTCTTGATCATGAAAAATATTTTTTTTAATATATAAAATAAATTTTATACAAACACACCTTCCACGAAATATTTTTTTTCTATTGTCTCTTACAAAATAAACTCTTAATTGATACCATTAATTAATTTGAATTTTTTATTAATTTAAAAAATTTATTTTGAGTTTTTAAAATAACATTTATTTAAAATTAAAACATTTATAAGTTATTTTTCAATTTATTTTCTATAAAACACTTATAAGTTATTTTTTAATTTATTTTTTATTACATAGCTAGTTAAATAATGTAGTTTTATAATTTATTTTTTATGATATTACTAAATATAAAAAAATTACTTTTTAAAGTTTTAATTTTTATAAAAATTACTTTCAAGTTTGTTTACTTTCGACCAAACAAGAAATTCCTTGATAATTGTTGAGTATAATGTCTCTCTGCCACAAGTCTCCCCAGCAGAGAGTGCCCTACTGGAAAAGACAAGAGGGTCCTGAAATAAGTTAGTCAACTCCCACTTGTTCTTTAGTCCCTTGGCAAGGGCACATTATTTAAGAAAAGGGTCCTCAAATATCACTTATTTTTTATACATTGTACTATTATATCCATAATATTTTTTCAATATAAATCAAAATATTAAATAAATAAAAAAAAAGAAATTAGAAAAGTACGAGGAAGTGGAGCTCTGTTCCCCTGTACCACAGCTTCAAGACATGAAATACATTATTATATATTTTTTTCAGAAATCATGAATACGGCTACGCCTCTTTTTCACTGCCCAGATCTCTCTGCATCAATAAACTAATTGTGTACACAATTTTTAACAATATCACTCCATTTGCCATGGATAATTGCATGATCTTATGGTTTCAAATGCTAGGTTGAGATTGATTATATGGTGGTTTATTATTCTCCCCAGCTATAATATTATATTTTGTGTTCAAATCTTCAAAGAAGAACACAAGGATTCTGATGATCTCGTGAACGAGTCAGCTTGCATGGTTTAAAATCTAGTTTAAAAATATTTTTTTATGATATGAAAAAAATTGTAAAAGACTCTCTCATTGATGTAAATACTCTCTCATTGATGTAAATAAAAAAAATCATATGGAAAGGGTGAGCAAATTAATCAAAATATTCCTAAAAATCTACTCAAAATTTTCAGAATCAAACAATTTATATGAATTTGTTGGATAATTTTGGTTAATTTTTTTTATAAATAAATTCGCTTAATTTAGTTCTGGTCCTGGTTTTAAATTCTAGATATTGAAAACCATGATGTATATATATCAAACCAATCTAAAAATATATATTATAAAAAAAAAACTCATTAAATCACTGTCCGTACGAAATAATCCATCTTAAAGCTCATTAACTCAAATTAGGCTTATTTGATTATAATAAATGTAAACTAAACTGGACCAGTCAATTTATATTTTTTATTCAGCTTAATTCGATTTAAAACTTGAAAAAAAAAGATTCATTAGTTATTTTTGCACAAATCAAACTGCTTGAATGGACGCTCATCCCTTCTGACTTTTAGCTCATTTAATATTCTAATAATATTCTAATAGTAAATGTTTATTTAAAAATATATTCAAATAATTTATTTTTTATTTTTAAAAATATTTTTTTTAATATTATCACAAAAAAATAATTTTTTATTATTAAAAAACACGATTAAAATACAAAAACAAAGAGGTAATTACTCTTAAATCATAAGAGAAGAGTATCAACTTACAAAACTGCCCTTAACAAAACATACATGCATGAAATAATGGGATGGACTATATACCATGCTTTACAGCTAAACCTTCAAGTAATTTAAAACTTTATGGATCTTGTACACACGGACATAAATTAAGGGGAAAGGTGAAGGAGAGGCAACAAAAGGATAAAAATCAAGTTTAATTAGGGTAATTAGTGATTAATCAAGAGTTAATAACAGCCAATAAATAAAGGGGAGGAAAAGGCAGCGGGTTTTCCGGTACAAAGGACGAAGGAAGCAAAAGCTTGCTGGTCGCCACGTGGCGATACTTTGAACCGTAGGATCAACATGAAGAATGATCAATCCATTTTGTGAGAGAGAGAGAGAGAGAGATCATCCCATGACATCCTTAGGCAGTGAAGAGAAGGGGGTCAGCTTAGTGACAACACAAACAAGAACAAGAGAAGCATTGCTGAGTGAAGGCTAAAAAGGCACTGCAAAATCATCAGAGAGAGAGACTTAAATTGGGTCAGGAGAGAGAGAGAGAGAGAGAGAGAGAGAGAGAGAGGGTATGGCGGCGTTTGCAGAGAAGCAGAAGCAGCTGTAATTCTGTGTAAATGGTAAAGAAAAGGTACTGAAGGTGCGATTAACGCTTTCTTTTCTTCAACCAAAAAAAGGGCCAACAAAACTAATCAAGAAACTACTCACTAACCACTTGACACAGGTTTTTTAGAGAAGGAAGCAAGGTAGCTAGAGTGAGTGAGTGAGTATGTGAGAAAGAGAAAGAAGAGAGAGGCATTTTCACATACACAAGACTCAAGAAAGCAGGGAACAAGATTGTGTGATACTACCACGAGTACTCTTACACTCTTGGATCCTTCTTCTTCTTGTTTTTTTTCCATTTTCTTTTTTCGATTCATAACCCAAAATTCTGGAGAATTTAAGGAGGGCCCTTCTGATGTTTGCTGGGTGGTAAGCAAAAGACAAAGAAAGAGAGGTTTTCTTGATTATGGATTTTCTCTCACAATTGAGTTTTGGGTCAGGCTTAGAGGAGGAGAAATGGCTGGCCTTTTCTCATTAGGAAGAGGTAGCAGCAGCAGTAATAACCAAGAAGACCAACAAAACAACAATAATCCACCAACTGAAATTCCACAAGAAAGCTGGTTTTGGTACAAAAGTGAAGACATTCCTTACAAAAGTTTTGAGCTATGGCAGCAGCAGCAGCATCAAGAGCTTCTTCACCAAAGACATCAGAATCCACAGCAAGATCTCTACTCATCAGCTGCTGGGTTAGGTGTAGGACCCAGTAGAACTTCAATCAACATCTCTGATGAATCCTCATCAAGATCAGCAGCAGCAGCAGAAGCTTTCATGATGATGAGGCCTGGTGGTTCTGGAACAGGAGGAGCTGGTAGCATAAGTTGCCAAGATTGTGGCAACCAAGCAAAGAAAGATTGTATGCATATGAGGTGTAGGACTTGTTGTAAGAGTAGAGGATTTGAGTGCCAAACCCATGTGAAAAGTACTTGGGTTCCTGCCTCTAAGCGCCGTGAAAGACAGCAACAATTAAATCTTTTACAGCAACAGCAACAACTGCAAATTCGTGGAGAGAATCCTAAGAGACAGAGAGAAAATCCAAGCTCTTCTCTTGCTTGCACTCGCTTAGCCAATAGCATGTCAGGTAAAGACAATATCTATATACACTTTGTTTATGTAATGTCTCTTTTCTTTTCTTTCAACAGAAACGAGTGACTCACAGTTCTAAAGAGTCATTTTTTAGAAGAATTCAGTGGCACACACGCTCATACAGAGAATCTTGAGAGAGAGAGAGAGAGAGAGAGAGAGGCCATATCGATTGCGTGTAATGAAAACGAACCTCCATAGTAAAACCCCATCAGCTTTTTTTCACCTTTCCTTTTATGAATACTGTTATGAGGTATTCCTGACAAGTGGATTGAAAGGGAGAAACTATTTTTCTCTTTCTGTGTGTCGATTGATATCTGTGTATATATTATATATGAGCATGTTTGTTCTTTCTTGATAGCTTTTGCGTGCCATTTCATATACATAAAATATAATTCTATAAAAAAAAATCCCATTTTTATATCTTACTATTTTAATCAAAATCTGAAGTAGTTTATGTTAACGGCTTCTTTGTTTTAGGGTTAGAACTTGGGAATTTCCCTTCAGAAGTGAGCTCTCCTGCATTATTTCGTTGTGTAAGAGTGAGTGGCATTGATGAAAGTGAGGAGATGTTAGCTTACCAAACTGCTGTTAACATTGGAGGGCATGTGTTTAAAGGAATTCTTTATGATCATGGGCCTGACAGCAACTACATGGCACCCGGTGAGACATCTTCTGGAGGTGGCGGAGTACAACCACTTAATTTAATCACAGCTGGCACAGCCACTGGTGGTGGTGGTGTAACGGTGGCTTCTACGACAGCCGCATTTCTTGATCCTTCATCTTTATATCCAGCTCCACTGAACACTTTCATGGCCGGTACGCAATTCTTTCCGAATCCAAGATCATGAAAACACCACAACAACATTCTTGTCTTCCCTCTCTTTTATATTAGCAAGGTCTTTTCTTTTCCAGTCCATTTTCCCAAAAAAAAAAAAAAAAATGATGATGATTAAATGTAGTAAGAAGAGAAGTAAATTTGACACATCCATTCAAGAAGTAGGAGTTAAAAAAGAAGAAGAAGAATGAATGCTGATGAGAGGCACTGCTTAACATGTTCTTGTTTTTGTGAAAATTACGATGCTAAGTTATGATTATTATTCTTCTTCTTTTTCTCTCTCTTTTTTCCCCTCACATTCTCCCTTTCTTGTATGTGAAAGAAATCTAAAGTTTCTTTCTTGTGTTAGGACAGGAAAGGAAAGCAAGTAGGGAGGCAGTGCAGTAGTAATGTAGTGATGACATGCTTCATGTTTTCTTGTTTGTTTGAGTTATATATTATGTTTTGTCTTCCGGGGTTTGAAATTGCATTACGTTAGTTTTGGACTTGAACTTGCCTTTTTCCCTGTTTACCCGTAAGTTTGCCGGTTTGAAATTGAAACGAAAATTGGGTTTCGTCTTTTTTTTTGGACTAAACAGAAAGACCAAACCAGTCTATTTCTTTGTTTTTTTTTCTCCTTTCCTTACGCGGTATGGGCGGTGTCCAGCCATGCATCAATAACCTAAGCATTCAAGTCCAAAAGGTGAAAGAAAAGAAAAATATGAAGTCATTTTTCTTTTCTTTCTTCCTCTCTCTCTGTGTTGAAATACTTGCTCATTTGATATTATTATGCACGTAAATCCTTTAATTAATTAGAATGGACATGCGTAGATGTGACTTCGATGACAAAATGGAAATATTTCTTGTCAATTGCTCTTTGCTTAATGCACCTGCAAGAATTTATATATATATTCCCAATGAAATTTCGATAATGTTTTCTTGAAAAAAAAAAAGGATTTTGTGAAGAAAACTCGGATTTTGAAGCTTTCCTCAATCAAACAAGAAATCGTTTTCAAGAAACAAGATTTTTTATTGGGAAGAGAGAAATCGTAACTGTAGAGGCAAGCTAATATCTGTATAGTACCAGTTTTGGTGCTCAACAGTTTGTTTTCATTGATTGCTGACACATTCTGTATTATTGCTAATGAATGTAGCTTTCTTGCAATGTAGTAGCTTGAACAACATCAATTGAAGATTAAATGTAAACCACAAGCTTTAAAATAACCAGAGTACAGATGGATATTATTTTTAAAATAATCCCTTTTAGTTTAAAGTAATGAAAACCATTTATTTATCTATATTTATGTTTCATTTTGAAGCAAAGGCATAGTCACCTTCCACAGCTAATGCAATGTCATTTCTAAATAAAGGAATCTTTCTGTGCATTTCTGTGCATCAAATAATTCTGCAAAAAGCCAAACCTAGCGTGTAATTTCAAATGACAAGTACAATTCTACTGTTGTTCTTCTAAGACTAGCTAATGGAGGAATTTTCTACCAAATAAGACCCCTTGTAGGATTAGTTATCCTCGGTTGAAAAGTTCTGGTGGCTTAAATGTCATTTGGCTAGACATTGTTATTGGAAATGTTCCTATTGATTCTAAAACCGTGAAAAACACAAGTTTGAAATTCGAATTCATGCAGAACATACTTCCCATGGAAGCATTTTGGAAGCACCTTCAAGATGGAAAATGTTGAAATATCATAGAAGGAATAGAGTAGAGTTGTCTTACAGTACTGTTTTTCATTGAATTATATAATTTGTTTGCTGAATTCCATATGAACTAAAATCATTTAGATCAGAACAATGCAATGATAAAGTCAACTAGAACAAAAGAATTGTTTCCCCATTTACTTTTAATTATCACGTAATAGAAAATAGCTGCGCTGCCTATCTGAATCTAATTCAATGTTTTAATTTATGTTCAATAAACTTTTTTGTTTTCATTTTCATTAGCGTTCTTCATGATGTGACAGCATTCACTTGCGTTAGAGAAATTGTCTTAGTAACAATCTATTGCATTAAATATGGGAGAATGATGGGGAGGGGCTGGGATGTTTTCTATGGATAGAAGGATTGAGCATTCGTGCTAAGAAAATTAGTGCTTCCTTCATAGATGGGTTCTGGATTTTTGTTGTTTTAGCCGAGTTGTTCTGATTAGAAGTTTGTCTTTTATGGTTTTGTAGGGGACAAAAAACATAATCATATATGTGGTGTCTAAACTTTATCGAGTTCCAACAAGAAAAATGCTTAATTGCGCAGTTTTAATTTTTATGAGAATAAGAAATTCTCAAGACGATCTGTTAAATGTACAATTTAGCAATATGGACATCAAATCTGCCATTTTAATATTTAGGGTGCAACATGAAAATCATCTAAGAGAAAAGAGAGAGAAATGTCGAGAGAATATTTTTCAAGTTACAACATAACCATATCATCATAACACGTGGAATCCTTTTTTTCTAGTGTTCATCCCTTGCAAATTTATTGCGCACCATATCATCATAACAGGTGGAATCCTTTTTTTCTAGTGTTCCTCCCCTGCAAATTTATTGCAACCAACATCAGACTTGTAATCCTTTGAGTATTCTAGCTGTGTAATTTATTCAACATGAAGAAAATCTAAGTGAATATTGCTAGCTCAAAAGTTATTTTTAGAGCACATTGAGCCTTGCGAAGCTAGAGATTTGATGTAATTTGCATTTGAATAACAATATAACATCATCATTTTCATCATGTGGAAACATGGCTGTTTCTTATTAGTGTGGTAGATAACTGGGGCCGCAGAAGTAGAGGAAAATACTATAGAGAAGTAGATTAACAATGCATTATCATTCAATTTGATCATTGTGATCCATTAGTTTCTTTTGGAGAATCGGAGCTGAATGTCCCAGATTGATTTTTCTGCCAGAGTATTATGAGTTGAATGTGTTTTGTGTGCAGAATTATCCACACCGTAGCTTCTTTTTTTTAATCCAGAATTTTTATATGATGCTTTGAGTTTTAAATTTTTTACTTGATATACTGCAATGGGACTTCTGTGTGTGTCTACACACACACACACACACACACACACAGTGATTGCAGCCCATCAAGCCCCCCAATGAGAGAACCACATCATAGAAAATGTGCATGGATCACATATATGTTCATGACAGCCTATATCTTATAATCTAATTTGCAAGGATAGGACTTAAAGCTGTCTGCTACAAATTATTAAAGGTCTGATAAGTTACCTACTTCGCTTAGATTTATTATGGTTTGTGGATGTTTCATATGCTTAGTTCTATCAGTTTTTTTTTAATGGTATCTGCTCCATATGGCATTTGTTCTTGAAAGTTGAACAAGAATCCCCCTTTTTGTGCGATTTGTGACTGATATTTTTGTTTTGTCAATTGGTCCACCTAGTTCAACCTTCAGCTTCTATTTTAATCCAGTTAACTGCATTGAGAAGCTGCATTTTGCTTGATAGTTCTTTCTCGGTTTCCCCACTTTTAGGATCTGATTGGTAGTGAGGTGGGGTTGAAACTAAATTGTCTTGGTGGTTAATTAATATACACTATAATTTTATAACTCTTTTAAAACCATAATTATAAAAGGCTATAATTTGTAGCTTTTCGCACTTGGCAGATTTTTATTTCAAAATGATCTTATTTGTTTGTACCATACTAATTCCTAGAAGTAAATTTATGGATTAAAATCTAATATCATAACTAGTGAAGCTGAACAATCAACCCTTCCAAGAGCCAAAAGGCTCTACGCATGCAGATGTTGATCATGAGAATGACCTTATATTCCCATCTGAGGAACCTCCACCCTCCTTGGTTTCTCATTTTTCCGTGAGCACGAAAGGAAGAAAAAGAAAAAAAATCTGCATGCGCATCTTCATACGTTCATCTTCCTTATGTTAAAAAACCCATCAAACTCTTTAACGAGACATGGAAGCAAGCATTTGTTACGTTCTCTTTATGTTATCTCCAACCTGGTCATTCTGGTATTTGGCTTTGCCACTGCAAATTAGTATAGCTTAAGCTTTTCTTTACTGCTTTGTAGTCCAATTTTCTTTGCCACCGGACCTCTGCCACGTCTAGCTGCTTTTCTCAGCAATCTGTTCTTGTGGTTGTTGTCTTCCACGAGATTTTTAACAAAAATAGGAACAAGAAAGCGTGATTGGGTCATTATTTATAGCCCTTGGCTGTTTCTTAGTTGGAAGTATCTTGAAAGGCGAAAAAGATATATAGCCTCAATCTACCGAGTGAGGGTGGGGGGGTAGAAAGCAATGATGAAACACTTCAAAGGGATTTCTTTCAAAGCCATACATAGGGTGCTAGGGTTTGTTATGGTATTTTAGGGCAGCACCGTAGGGTTTATGGCAATTTGAGTTAGTAGAGAGGGCGAGACTAGATTTGTAGGACTAGAGCCCCATAATGCAAGTTATATTCATGGGCATGCAGACATATAATTGGTGGTCCCAAACTTCCAATAAGCAAAATTCCCAGCTTCTTCAATTAAAAAGATCGCTTTCCTTTTGCTTGCTTTGCTTTTGCAGCTCAACGTGCTGTTAAATTATTAACAGAGCCCTATTTTCCTTGTGAGAAAGCAGGAGACAGATCCCTTTATATAGGCAGCTTAGATGCATTTATAGACCTTTAATCCACTAAAGAACAATGGAAGTAAAGGCTAATTCATTCTTGTTGATCAGTGCAAGATCTTGTTCCAGCAAATGGTGGCCGGTTTGAGCAGGAAGGTTGCTAGCGCAAGTCTTGTTGGCTTTTTGGCACTCTATATAAAAGCAGCAGTATCTTGCTCGACTCTTGGTTTTCATATATTATATATATTTTTGCATATAGGTCCAGATTTCGTGCATGTAATTCTATGCAATGAAAATCCCAATTTAATTCTAAATCTGGAAATTTCTCTTCAATTTATATTAAAAAGCTTTTAAATTTAATATATTGATTTTAATTTATACCATCTCCATTCCTTTTCTTTTCTTTTCTTTTCCTTTTATTTTCAAGATTATACTTTAGAAAAACAGAACTAGTTATTTGTTATTAAACATGCTTTTGATATAAATTATATGTTTTTTGTAAATAGTTTTACGATTTTAAACCCAAAACACAGCTGGTACCAAATCAAATAATTTTCCCGAATTAAACTAGTAATTTAGGCTGATACATAAAAGTTTCAAATTTCAGTCTTTTCAAGTCAACAAGAGGTTAATAGTCTTGGGCTACATAATAGAGAATGACCCTCTTAACCCCTAAATCTTCCCTTTTTCCTAAAATTTTAGGGAAAAAAATCTCATGTTTTAATCATTGTAATGATTTCAAGGTAACACCCCCAATCCATTAACCTTGTCATAGCCTTCTTTTTTAACTGGCAAATAATTAATTTAAGATGCTAATTTAGCAACTCTTACATGGGATTCCAATTTTCAAATAAATACTATTAGTTAGCTGAACCAGTAATAACTTAATAAATATTTTAGGCCATTAATAGCATAAATTAATATTAAAATATGTATTATATTTCATGCCATTGATAGCATAGATTATTCTAATAATCCTCTAGTTTTAGTAAAAACTTCTTCACATGAAGGAATCAATCTGCAATACGATCTGAAAGGGTCAAAGTGGCAGTCATCATGCATAGGCAAAAGATTTTGCCTCTTAGGTCTAGGTGAGATTCCACAACAACTGCTCTAATTTGATTGACCCCTCTTTAAGCTGCTGGTATAATTTTTTTAAAAACATAAATTTTATTTTTATGTTAATTTTTTTTTCTGGTTGTTAATTTTTTTTTGGATTTATTAGAGTCAATTTAGATTAATATGTCAAAACAATATTAGGTTTATAAAACTACGATAATTAAATATAAAGTAAATTAAAAAATAATTTGAGTTAAGTTGTGAAAGCATGAATTTGGATTATAAAAGTGAGATATATATATATATATATATATATATATATATATATATATATATATATATATATATATATATATATATAATGTTATGTTCGACACGATGGCTAGCATAGCACGATAATTAGAGCTTGTAGAGATATTCGAGATTCTCACTGCTTGTCCTCCCATGGATCCAATCCGAGATCAATGGGACATCAAGAGGCTGGAGATTATTAGTAAATTGATTGATGCAAGCAGCCATAGTACTGATAGAGAAGAGATATCATGGCAGGCATTGCGCTGAAATATGCATCAAAGCATGGATTGCAGTCTCTAGCATCTTCTTAGAATAATGTTCTGTGCCCAAAAGTTGATGCCACGAGGATTCCATTTCCTTTCACCACTTTAATCTAACCGGAAAAGAGTTGTATATAAATATCGATCGAACATATTCTTCCCAGGATCTGGTTCTAGGTTTCGAGACCAACAGACAGAAGGGCATTTTAAAAGCTAAGACAATAATGTTGTCTCCATTCCACCGGACCTCTAACCTTCCGACATGTCAAAACTCGGTAGATGTAGGGCAAGGTGCCCCAGATTCAGATCTGATGGGAGGTGAAATCTGGGTTCTCCATATTCGATCGAGTCATGAGTGTTTATAAGATTAAACATGAAAATCCTCTTTGGAAAAGGCTTATATTCATGGATCCACAGGACAAATAATGCCATCAAATCTACAAAACAATACCCTTAAACAAAACTTATAAATCTAAATCCAACTACTGCTATTATCTCGGAAATACTAATCTAAGTCAAAACCAGTCTTCTTGCCATTAACTATGAAAATAAAATACATACGCATTAACATTTTCTCTACATATTAGTTATATTATTTTCATCGATAATACACATCATGCAAAACCCTAGATAAATTTTGTTGTCTCCAAGTAGTGCAACATTGTTGGCAAAAAATAAAATGACTTTCCTATCCCTTTAGAAGAATATTTAAAAGTATAATAGTAATGGTTTTTCAAAGTGTTTTTCACTTGGCAAAAAAAAAAAAAAAAGACCTTCTAATACCTTTAAAAGAATATTTAAAAATGCTATAGTGATTGTTTTTTAAAGTATTTTTCATTCAGAAATACATTAAAATAATATATTTTTTATTTAAAAAAAATTATTTTTGACATTAGTATATCATAAAAACATCAAAAAAATATTAATTTTAAACAAAAATTAAAAAACTAAAATTTTTAAATTTTTTAAAAATACTTTTAAAATACAAAAAAACAATCATACCGTACCTTTAAAACACAAAAAGTAAATCGGATCATCGGAAACTTATTTTTGTAAGTTTTTGAGTTGTCTAAACCCAACCTTTTGACACCTTCTAAATACAAAAAAACAATCATACCGTACCTCTAAAACACAAAACATTATAAACACACTCACGTAAATCGGTTCATCGGAAACTTATTTTTGTTTATTTTTCAGTTGTCTAAACCCAACCTTTCGACACCTTTTTAGCCCATTAGTTTTGAGAAGGCCATAATTCTTGCGAAGTCTTCAACAACCTCGTGAAAATCCATGCTGGGCCTTGGTATACAAGTTTGAAACGCGTCTTCAATTCTCGTGAAAATCCATGCTGGGCCTTGGTAAGTTTGAAACGTGTCTTCAACTTGTCCAGCAGAAACTCACCAGGCCCTGCCGATGTTGAAATTCTGCTGCCCGCATTTAGATACGAAGAATGCTTAACACCAACGCCATGAATGTTCAAGACTTCAAGTTCAACCTTCATATACGAAGAATGCTTAACACCAACGCCATAAATGTTCAAGACTTCAAGTTCAACCCTCATTCTTTTTATTTTTATTTTATTTTATTTTGTGATGAACAAGAATTCAAAACCTACAATTGTTCAATTTAGCCCAAAGTTTGGGTAAGGTACTGTGCTGGGTTCAATTCAATCTCACACATGGCCCATAGAATTCAGAGTGTACAGACTTCGGCTTCTTTTTTGTTCACCCTCTCATGTCCCATTTGCCCCAATTTATCGAAAGTTCTCCCGTAGGGAAGCTATAAGCTTAAATGATTAATAATTAAGGGTATGGTTAAATTAATGTAATACTATTTATATTAGAATAATATTTTATAAATTTTATAATTTTATAATTCATTATTTTGAAAATTATATTTCATAATTGTTTTTCTATTAAATTATATATCAGTTTCATGAATTTATTTATTTTTTATTTCAACTTTTAAATATTTTGTAAATAGAGATTTATAATTTTTTTTTATTTTTTTCTATAAATTTATTTTGATTTTATTAACTAAGTTATGAGCTCAACATGTTAATCCTGGTTAGCTTAGTTTTTTTTTTAATTGATTTTTTTTATTTTATCTTTTGATATTGAACTAATTGAAAAATTAAGCTTTATAATAATTTTTTTTATGGCTTATCTCGATCTCATAACTCAAGTAATAGGTTTAGCAGGTTAACTTGAGTTGATTTTATTTATTTTTTGGTACTTTTTTAATTGAATATTTTTTTAGATTGGGCTTTGTATTTTTTTAATAAGGTTATCTCAATCTCATAACTCACGTTACAGGTTTGGTAAATTGGTCCACGTTGACTAGGGTTATTTTTTTTTGTCTATTTTTAATTGGATTTTTTTTTTAATTTCAACCTCTAATAATTCAATTTTTTTTCTCAATTACATCCTTTAATATTAAGATGTTTGATAATTGAATTTTATAAAATTTTTTTGTGAAATAATCCTAGTCATGGATTTAAATTTTTTTTATTTCAATCTTGAACACTGGATTTGTTAGAAATAAAGCATTATATTTTTTTTGGTATTATTTAAAAAATTATTTCAGTTTTTATAATTTAGATCACGAGTTTAATGTGATAGACAAATATCACTATCTAATATATCGATTTCATATATCCTACAAATTCGATAAATTAACTCGAGTTAATTCAATATGATGTTGTCTTAATATTTTAAAAAATAATATCTAATATATTATTGTATCAATATTTTTTTAAAAAAATTGTTCAATATACATTATATTTTAGATTTGTGATTAATTTTGCAATGTTGAAATATTTTTTTCATGATAAAAAATTTTAATACTACCCACGATCGAAGGTGAGCCAAGCAAATTTTTTAATTTTTTAATTTATTTTTTTAAAAATTATATTTCATAATTGTTTTTTTATTGAGTTACATACCGGTTTCTTAAATTTATTTATTTTTGCTTGATTTCAACCTTTAAATATTTTGTAAATAGAACTTCATAATTTCTTTTATTTTTTTTATGAATTATTTTCAATCTTATTAACTAAGTCATGAGTTCAGTATGTTAATTCTAGTTAGTTTAGTTTTTTTTTCTAATTGATATTTTTTTGTTTTATCTTTGGATATTGAATCGATTGAAAATTAAACTTTATAATATTTTTTTATGGCTTATCTCGTTCTCATAACTCAGGTAACATGTTTAGCAGGTTAACTTGAGTTGATTCTATTTATGTTTTAGTACTTTTTTAATTGAATAATTTTTTAAATTGAACTTTGTATTTTTTTTTAATGGAGTTATTTCAATCTTATAACTCACGTCACAGGTTTGGTAGATTGGTCCAAGCTAACTAGGTTTATTTTTTTAAATCCTTTTTTAATTGGATTTTTTTTTTAATTTCAGCCTCTAATAATTCAATCTATTTTTTTCTCAATTACATCCTTTGATATTAAGACATTTAAAAATTGAATTTTATAAATTTTTTTGTGAAATTATTTTATTCATGGATTTAGTTTTTTTTTTTATATTTCAATCTTGAATACTGAATTTGTTAGAAATAGAGCATCAGATTTTTTTGTATTATTTAAAAAGTTGTTTTAGTTTTTACTATTTAAATTGTAAATTTAACGTGATAGACAAATATTATTATCTGATATATTGATTCCATATGTTCTATAAATTCAATAGGTTAACTCAAGTTAATTCAATATAAAATTATTTTAATATTTTAAAAAATAATATCTAATATATTATTATATCAATATTTAAAAAAAAATATTATTCAATATACACTATATTTTAGATTCATGATTAATTTTTTTTATTAAAAAACAAGTTTGCAATGTTGAAATATTTTTTTCATCATAAAAAAATTTAATCCTACCCACGATCGAAGGTGAGCCAATAAGATATAAACCCTCTGAAATACAGCCCAAAACATCATGATTCTCATCTCTTGCTTTGCTTCTTCTTCACACACTACAAAAACAAGATGACATAACAAATTCCGTCTCCGACTCTTTTGGATCTTTGAGGCATTCTACCTTGGAATGTTTCTCTCGTGTTTCTCCACAAGCATAGCTGAAAACACTCCTTTGCTTTACACTGTTACATCCCATTCTACGCTATCTTATTTCTTCCATATTTTCTGACAAACATTGCTCGAAACCTAAATAGAAATGGCTAGGCTTCGCAGTAGCAAGCGCAATTCTTCCTCTAGATCATACACATCAACACTAACCACCATAGCCTTCATAGCATTGTGTGCTATAGGTGTTTGGATGCTAACTTCAAACCCACAGGTTACTCCACAAACCACAACTCACGTCACCAAACCAGTCATTACCACCACCACTGACATTGCCGCCGACGCGGATGTTTCAATCTCCAATGAGGTAGAACGCACTGAATCCAGGAGCAAAAAGGACACCCATGTTTATGAAGACAATCCAGGAGATCTTCCCGATGATGCTATCAAATCCGACGAGCTTAAAAGCAATGATGACAGTGACAATAAAGAAGAAAGTAACTACGGGAAACAGGAAACGGATGGTGGTGATAGTAAGCCTGATCAAGAGAGCTCATCACAGGATTTAAAGGGAGAAGGATCTGGTGAGGAGCAGCAGAAACAGGAGGAAAGACAGAATCAGATATCTGAAGAAAGTTCACACACTCAAAACCGACAAGCTGATCAAACCAGCCAAGAAAATTCTCAATCTGAAGGTAGCCAGGAAGCAAGTGTCAATCAAGAACAAGAAAAAAATACCAGCCAAGACGAAAAAACGAATGACAATCAAGAACAAGAGAAAAGTACAGTATCTGAAACTGATGATAGTAATTTACATGATTCTATAAATCAGAATGAAGAACAAGATCAAGCACTAGAGCAACAGCAACAGCAACTAGAAGATGTCGAAAACAGTAGTAAGGATTTACAGGATTCTCAGAACCAAGAATCAAAAGAAGACCAACAACAAGGCTCTGGACTCGATGAAAACAATCAAGAATCTGATCACAATGAGAAAACATATGAAGAGCAACAGCGAGAGCAAAGAATAGAAGATACTGGAGGTCAGAATTCTTCTCAAGAATCCCAAAAGGAGGTATCTGAAGAAGATAAAAAACAAAGAATACAGCAGCAGCACAAACAAGATGTTGAAGATAGTAGTAAGGATTTACAGGATTCTCAGAACCAAGAATCGAAAGAAGACGAGCAACAACAAGGTTCTGGACTCAATGAAAACAATCAAGAATCGAATCAAAATGAAAAATCATTTGAAGACCAACAACAACAAGATAGTACTGTAATCAATGAAAGCAATCAAGAATCTGATCAAAATGAGAAAACTTATGATGAGCAACAACAAGAGCAAAGACAAGAAGATACTGGGGTCCAGGATTCTTCTCAAGAATCCCAAAATGAGGTATCTGAAGAAGATCAAAAATAAGGAAGACAACAACAGCAGCAGCAGCAGCAGCAGCAACAAACACATGATCAAGAAACTGAACAAGAATCTCAGATGGATAGCAACACAAACCAAGAAACCAAGCAGGAATCAAGCTCGGGCGAGTCAGCATTTCCAGGTGGCGGGAACCCAGGCATACCAAAAGAATCAAAGGAGTCATGGTCAACTCAAGCAGCAGAGTCAGAGAATCAAAAGGAGAGAAGGAAGGAGGAATCGGACGGTAATGATAGTATGTATGGGTACACATGGCAGCTCTGTAATGTCACTGCAGGTCCTGATTATATACCTTGTTTGGATAATGAAAAGGCCTTAAGACAACTACATACAACAGGACACTTTGAACATAGAGAGAGGCATTGTCCTGAGCTTGGACCCACTTGTTTGGTTCCACTTCCTCAAGGTTACAAAAGACCCATCACATGGACTCAAAGTAGAGACAAGGTATATCATTGAATCTTGATGGTTAGATTAGGGTGATTTTGTGGGGTTGTAACTTTGTTTAGTGTGGCCTTGCAGATATGGTATCACAATGTACCTCATCCAAAATTGGCAGAGGTCAAAGGTCATCAAAATTGGGTTAAGGTTACTGGTGAGTTCTTGACCTTCCCTGGTGGTGGAACGCAGTTCATACATGGAGCTCTTCACTATATTGATTTTGTTCAACAGGTAAACTAATCCCACAATTTAATGTCTTGCATGATGCAATGTGTCCTCAAGGGACATTTCAACGCAATGCATGAAGAGTGCCCTTGAGGCGACACTCCAAACAGTTTGAGTTTGGGTAAATATTAGAAAGATAGAATCAGTCCTGACACGTGAAAATCGCACATAAATGCCATCTGGCCATGAATAAATAGATAAAGCACCCTAATGTCACCATCGAAGTGATGCATGCGTTCGTGCTCAAGCAGTTCTTAGCTCTGGAAAATATCCTCATCAAGTGGATACTTGTCATCCGTATTGCATGTTTTATGCGCATGAATTCCCATACTGATTCATGGTTAATGGGTGCAGGCTGTGCCCAAAATTAAATGGGGAAAGCACACTAGAGTGATACTGGATGTTGGGTGTGGAGTTGCAAGCTTTGGTGGTTATATTTTTGAAAGGGATGTTCTTACAATGTCGTTTGCACCCAAAGATGAACATGAAGCTCAAGTCCAATTTGCCCTTGAAAGAGGAATACCTGCAATATCTGCTGTCATGGGTTCCCAGCGTCTCCCGTTCCCCAGCAGGGTCTTTGATCTCATCCACTGTGCGCGTTGTAGAGTCCCTTGGCATGCAGAAGGTCACAACCTTTTCATATCTCCAGTCTGAGTACAATATAGATTATGAATCCAATAGAAGAAACAGAATATTTGTTGTAATTTGCTTTTGCTAAAGAAGATTAGGTGCTTGTTCAGGTGGCAAGCTACTTTTGGAATTGAATCGCCTTCTCCGGCCTGGAGGTTATTTTGTCTGGTCAGCAACTCCTGTTTACCAAAAGCTTCAGGAAGATGTGGGGATATGGCAAGGTTGGATACCAAGAACTGATTATTTGAACAATCTATGATCTTATATCTAGCTGACCTCTTGTTATTTTGCTAGCTATGTCCGCGTTGACGGTATCTATGTGTTGGGAGCTTGTGACTATCAAGAAAGATAAACTTAACGGTATCGGTGCTGCTATCTACAGAAAACCTACCACAAATAATTGTTATGATCAAAGAATCAAAAACAGCCCTCCAATGTGTGATAATGATGACGATGCAAATGCTGCCTGGTCAGTCAGTTTCTCAGGCATTCCTAATGACTCTTAACAATTGGAAATGGGTTGATCAATAGCTAACTGGACTATTTATTAATGGTCATTCTGGCGTTGCATTTTCAGGTACGTGCCTCTGCAGGCATGCATGCACCGGGTACCTCGTTCTAAATCTCAGAGAGGGGGTAAATGGCCAGAGGATTGGCCTGAAAGACTACAAATACCTCCTTACTGGCTAAAGAGCTCTCAGATGGGGATCTATGGTAAGCCAGCTCCTCAAGATTTTGAAGCAGATTATGAACATTGGAAACATGTCGTCAGCAACTCATACATGAAGGGATTGGGTATCAGCTGGTCCAACGTCAGGAATATAATGGATATGAGAGCCGTTTATGGGGGGTAATGATACTTATCAACTGTTGTTGTTTTCTAATGCTAATTGCAAGACGGTATTGTCCTGTTTAAACGTATCCTCTTCACATGATTATGATGCAAAACTCGTTTTTTATGCATCCAGGTTTGCAGCGGCTCTCAAGGATCTTAAGGTCTGGGTGTTCAATGTAGTGAACACAGACTCTCCAGATACACTACCGATAATTTATGAGAGAGGTCTTTTTGGGATATACCATGATTGGTGCGAATCCTTCAGCACATACCCTCGAACTTACGACCTCCTACATGCTGATCATCTCTTCTCAAAGCTGAAAAAAAGGTAAATATGATTGGATCAATACTTCTCATTTTCCATTTGTAATTCATTTTGTCCATCGGGGGAGCTTGATGACCAAATTGTGGTGTGGATTTTACAGGTGCCAGCTTGCTCCTGTATTGGCAGAAGTTGATAGAATCGCTAGACCTGGAGGTAAACTGATTGTTCGTGATGAGTCACGTGCAATTGAGGAAGTGGAGAACTTGCTGAAGTCTCTACATTGGGAAGTTCATCTAATCTTCTCCAAGGACCAAGAAGGTTTACTCATCGCACAAAAAGGTGAATGGCGACCACAGACATATGCAGCTTCTTCCTGATCATGAAGAGATACGACATCTGGCTCATAATCGTGTGCTGCCCCTTCTGAATGGCAACTTACTGTAGCACTTTGCTTTCTTTGGAATGTAAAGTCTTCTTCTGAAATACAGCTAGGTAAATGTATTTGTTGTTGCCTTGTAAAACTTACAGTACAAGAATCTCTGCGTAGAATTATAATAGGCCAACAGGCGAAATTTTGCACCAGAAAGATGGTCACTCGTAACATGCATGATGGAGCTCCGGAAAAGATTATCACATTACAAATTCATACAATACAAACACAAGGAATTAGACAAGGAAAAACAGTAGCCGGGACCAGAGAACCAATAACTTCGCCACATAGCTGCATCCATGAATATGGAACCTCATTCACAAGTTCACAAACATTAATGGCCCCCCTTCATCACTAACCTGGCCATTTGCTGCATCAATGAACATGGAACCTCACTCAAACCAACACTAATGGTCCCCCTTCATCACTTTGCAGATCATTATGAAACTTGCGTAGCTTACAGATAAATGGACTGACTACCAGGGATTGCGTATGCATACTAGGTAACCGTTAGCTACTATAGTTCACCATAATCCAGCCAACTATGGTAACACAGTTTTGCCATCAAATTTAATCACTATATTGTTTGATAGGAAATCTGTTAATGATTCAAAACAAAAACTATCACTAAACCTTCTTCATTGCCAATGCAACTTCCCTCACACACATAGGAAAGGTCTAGCGATAGAAAAACTCTTGCAATGCAGAGCCAGTGTATCCATTACAGAAGGACCACAGAATCATTCAACATCAGTAAATGACATGTGGAAACTCCATTTTGGTAAAATTTGCATGATGCCGGAAGAAACTCATCAACACTGAGTGGCATAGACCTACTTCCTGGGAGGACATTCTCTTCATATAGTTTAATCATGTATAAAGTAACATGATAATTCAAATGATCCTCAAAATCATCTTATAATCCCAAGTCTTCCATGAATCCCCTCTAACTCTTCGTTGGTGCATGAACAACTCAAGTGAATTTGAGAAAATTACAAGAAAAATGTCTTTTATTTCATTTAACAAAGGTTAGCTTCAACTCACAATTTCAAAATAAAGGACAAAATCAACCCTATATCAACACAATGTGTTGTTAACATGGCTCTACAAAAACAGAACCTTATCAAGTTATGATAAACACTTCAAGCTCCATTGGACTTCAATACCAGATGCAGCTCCTAATCAGATTCCAGCATTTCCACTACTCCGTGCCTAGAAGTTTCTGCAGTTGACCACTCTTGACGGCAGCTCTGAGATCTAAATATCAAAATTAACGATCAAATAGCATTAGTAAAATGATGAGAAACAAGCCTGAAAACTAATACATCCCTTAAAGAAGGAAAATTTTAGAAAGAAGAAAGAGGGCAAGGAACAGAGCAGCTAACCATCAGATCCACCAATATGCTTGCCATTCACAAATATTTGAGGGACAGTGCGCTTGCCAACTAAATCAAGCAGATAATCCTGAATTTCACCTCCATCATCTGCAAAATTCATAGAAACACTGCCAATTTAAACCATTTTTCCCGGTACCCATGCTACATGAATCTGTAGCTAAATAGAGATACCTCGAAGATCAAGCTCCACGGCAAAAGGTTTCTCATACAGTTCACTGAACACACGCTTGGCACGCAAACAATACCTATCAACAAAAAGAAAACAAATCACAATTCTTCCTCCCAAAATGCTCAAGTGAGATTCAGCGTTTGCACTGCACAGTTAGCTGTGTATTAAAATTATTTCCCAGAATTCATAAAACATAGACGATTGGCTGTAAACTAGAATCCCCAGAAATTCATATAATTCAAACAACTTTCCATGAAAATTAAATTCATATCCCAATCCAATAATACACTAACCAAATTCCAATATCAAAAACTACTTTCCAAAATTCTAACCAAGACCCACTTTTTTAATTTAAAAAGGAAACACAAATCAATCATAAAAGGAGAACTAAAAGAACAAAATCATCCACGTACAAGGCATAAATTAATACTAATAACACAAATTAATATTCATAAAAAAAATCCCATAAAACAGAAATTAAGAGAGCGAATTATAGAATTTACGGGCAGTAAGATTTGGAGAAGATGACGATCTTGTTGGAGTAGATAACGTTTTGAACGAAAGCTGAAGCTGAATTCGATGCTTCGGTTACCTTCAATTCATTTGCTAACGCGACCAACAACAAAAATAACCCAATCGTTGTCCGATTAAGAATTATACTACACTGGATTCTCTTCATCTTCGCTTCTTTTAGCAACAACAAATAATTGCTCGGTAACTGCTTTTCCTCGCACGCAAGTAATGTTTTTTATGGGTATAGTTTAATTTTCCCCTGGTATCTCGGTTTTATCCAAATAGTTTTGTTTGTTTCAATTAACCCCCAGATTTCATCGATTTTTCAATATATCCGATAGATTAATGGGTTTAATCCATTCGAAGCCTGGCTTTAACAGAGTTTTAAAAACCACGTAGAAGTCATTTCTAGATTATCCGACAAGTTAACCGGTCAAAATATAATTTATTTATTTATTTTAATTTAAAAAACAGTATTATTTGAACTTATTTTAAAAATCTTAAAATAATATTTTTTTTATTACTTTTGTGTACAACTTTTAGTTGTAGAAATTAAAGAGAATTTTTTCTGCTCAAAATTTTTATTTTAAGCTTTTTTCATTAAAAATATTATAATAAAAACTATGATTAATTGAATTAAAACCTAATTTAAATTAAATGTTATTTTATCAAACATATTTTTAATTTAATATTTTTAAAAATATTCATAACCAAAATTAACTTGAACTTGTTAATTAAATAAATTGAATCAGGTTATAATTTCCAACAACGCTAAATCGTTTTTCATTTCAATGAAATTAGATCTCATTAATCAAAATAAAGAAAATCGATAATTACCATAAAAAAATAATCCTGATTCAGGAATTTCTATTGTTGCCTGGTATAGTCGAATTACAATCAAGGACCGCATATTCATGAAAATAAAAATCGAGAACACCACCTAATTAATTGAATCTGTAACCCAGAAAAACAAATCTGAAAGAATACAGTTCATCATCACATCATGAGGGGCGGGCTAGGATTTTGAAGAATCAGATTTATAAAGCTTGTCATATTCCTCAAGCTCCTCATAATACACATCCCAGACACATCGAACACATCCACTCCCACAACAATCTCCTGGCTCCGGCTTCTCGGGGGGCGGCGGCGGCGGGGGAGCCGTCTTCTTCTTCGATTCTTCCTCTCCTTGTTTACTCATCACCGTTGATTCAATCTGTTGGTTTTTATTTTCCGTTGCCATTACAAAATTGGTAGTGACGTGACAGATTTTGGGATCTTGAGATCTTGAATTGAAGGTGATTGTTTTTGGTGATATAAATATTGGCTTAAATGGGTTTTTCATGGCGAAGATAAAATGGGTCGGGTCATTTGGTGGGTTTTTGGGTTTTGCTAACGTGTAAGAGAAGATTCGAGAAAGAAAATGATTATGGAGGGTCGCTTCCATTTACGATCTTTAAGTTTGGTCAGGGAGAATCTATGTGAGCGGGCGGCGGAGGAATTTGACCCGGTGACAGTTGGGATCAACTTTTTGACTTTTTATGTGGCAGCTTTTTATTGGTTGATTATTCTTAATACCACTGCACCCGTTTGTCTGGTCTGCATGAGTAGAAAGTCAAAACCACCCATTTAGGTATGGTTGGTTGATTAAGGATAGGTTTCTTTTTGCCTTCTAAAGTGTTTTTGTAATAATTTAAATTTTATTAATTTTATTAGATTATTTTGACGGAAATAAAAAATTATTTTTTAAAAAATATAAACATATTATTTTCATATATTTTAAATTAAAAATTATTTTTTAAAAATAATTTCAGAAACTACTGCTTTTTATTGGTTGATTATTCTTAATACCACTGCACCCGTTTGTCTGGTCTGCATGAGTAGAAAGTCAAAACCACCCATTTAGGTATGGTTGGTTGATTAAGGATAGGTTTCTTTTTGCCTTCTAAAGTGTTTTTGTAATAATTTAAATTTTATTAATTTTATTAGATTATTTTGACGGAAATAAAAAATTATTTTTAAAAAATATAAACCATATTATTTTGATATATTTTGCAGTAAAAATGATTTAAAAAAAATAATTATTACCATAAAATTAAACAATTCAAAAACTACATGACTGCAGTGCAAAAAATATTGATTTAGAAATGTAAATTATACCTCAACCAGGCGCAAGTTTCCGAACAAGTACTTAATCCAATATTTATCGGTGGAAAGTTTTTTTGTTATAGTCTGTTTCTTTAAGTTATAATAATTTGTGCTGATGGGAACGATTGTAGCCTGAAATATTTCAAGTTGCAACATAGTATTAACAAGGCATGTGTGTTCTGGTTTGGCTGGAACCAGGAGAACTGGTCCAGTTATTGATTGTTGGGTCCTCGTGAATTGATTGGTTTTTGTAAAGGGTTGTTTGGACATGTAGATTCTCTAGGTCATGGACCTATTTTAGTGTCATCTCCATTTTGAGCATTAATGTTGTTTACATCAATTTGGATGTTTCTGATTCTTGATGATTTCCGGATTTTGTTCATGTTTGCGGTTGTTTTGTTCTCAATGTGAGGTTGTGAAGCTGTATAATTGAAATTAATATGTTTCTTTAGTACTCGAAGTATAAATGCTTATACCAGCCACGAGGCCCATGACATAGTTCATTTGTGGAGGGTTTATGGCTAGCCAGAGTTGAAAATTTGTGCTAGTAAATGTTGAGGTTGATTTGCAGTAAAACAAATAGCTCTGTTCATGCTCGAATGATATTAGATTTTCATGAAATGATATGCTTCTAGTAATTTTGAGGCTGATTCCTTGTTTTCGCGTGTTTGTTTGCAAGTGTGAAACCTCGAGGGGTGAAGTAATATTGGTTAATGAGGACGCTAACATGCCTTTCATCTTCCTATGCTTTCACTAAAAAGATGTGGCTGTAGCGATTCTTTTCCTGTGCTTTCACTAAAAAGATGTGGCGGCAAGCTCTAGGTCCTACCATGATCAATAGGTAGGTGGCGGACAGAAACTGTACCCCATAGGGCAATTCGGTTTCTGCAGATTTTCTTGCTGTGCTGTTGGGAGTTGGGAGTTCGGACTTGCTTGATCCTCGTGTATCTACTGTGTTTGGAAGGCCCATGATAACTAAATTCATGGTACTAGAGATATCTGTGTCTCAATGATGCTTTATCTGATTATAAATTTTGTGTAATCTGTCAACTGTGTAACTTTACTAGCCAGTAACTGTTAGCCTGTCGAAGTATAAATGCTTATACCAGCCACGAGGCCCATGACATAGTTCATTTGTGGAGGGTTTATGGCTAGCCAGAGTTGAAAATTTGTGCTAGTAAATGTTGAGGTTGATTTGCAGTAAAACAAATAGCTCTGTTCATGCTCGAATGATATTAGATTTTCATGAAATGAAATGCTTCTAGTAATTTTGAGGCTGATTCCTTGTTTTCGCGTGTTTGTTTGCAAGTGTGAAACCTCGAGGGGTGAA